AAGCATCAAGATACACATCAAGGTTTTTCCCATGGTCAGGTCAGTTGGGGAGCATTGCTGCACCCACAACACGGCGAAAGTCCTCCGGATCCTGGCCAGCAATCCCCCAGGCAGACACATGGTCCAGTCCCACCCTCCGGAAATGGCCATCCCTCTGCCGCAGCCAGGTGTTATGTGGGTGTCCCCATGGCCTGGTCAAGCCACTTGGGACAAGTAACGAGGATCCTGCGAGCCGGATCACCCTCAGGGAACCGTGCCACATGGCCGTAACTGACGCTCCATCACAGTGCAGGTAATGTGCCTCATTCGGGACTCTTCTACCAACTGCTCATTTGACACAAGGTCAAACCAGTGGTACCCAAGGATTCTCCGAAGAGACACAGTACTGAAGGAGTCCAGTCTTTGTCTCAGCTCACTGGATAGTGTCCATGTCTCACAGCCATATAGCAAGACAGGGAGCACCAGGACTCTAAAGACTTGGACCTTTACCCTCTTGCAAAGATATCGGGAGCCACACACCCCTTTCTAGTGACCTCATGACCCCCCACGCTCTTCCAATCCGTCTGCTGTCTTCATAGGAAGAGTCACCAGAGACATGAATGTCGCTGCCAAGGTAGGTACATCTCTCTCCCCCCGCAGACAGACACATTACTGATGGCTGTGCCTAAGAAGTCATTAAATGCCTGGATCTTGGTCTTTATCCAGGACACCCGCAATCCCAGACACTCGGACTGTCTATCAAGAGCCCCAATGCCAGGGCCTCCATTTACTCCGCTAAGATCACTGCATTGTCGGCAAAGTCAAGATCAGTAAATCTTTCTTCACCAACGGATGCCCCACAGCTGCTGAACCCATGACCCTGCCCAACACCCAGTCCATACAAGCATTGAACAGAGTAGGAGCAAGATCACACCGCTGGCAAACCCTAGAAATAACTGGGAAGAATGCAGAGGTTCTCCCTCCACTCTGCACAGCACTCACGGTACCAGAGTCCCGGCTATGGCATCCAGCAACTTTGGGGGGATCCAGCAAAGTCTCAGGATGTCCTACAGGGCAACTCGATCAACTGAGTCGAGCGCTTTATGAAAATCGATGAGAACCCTCAGTGCAAGGATACGGTCAACTTCTTAGGCATAAAACCAGACTGCTCCAGTCACTGACATGCAAGCAAGTGATCACGGATCCTGTAAAGGATGACCCTAGCAAGGACCTTACCCGGCAATGAAAGCAGTGTTATCCCCCTGTAGTTTCCGCAATCCAGGTGATCACCATTCCCTTCCCAGACTGGGACTACAAGTCCCATTTTCCAGTCATTTGGGATGACGCCTGACACCCACATGGAAGCAAAGATAGCCTGCAATGCCAGGAGGACAGCCTGGAGAAGTTCACCCCAGATACCACAGATCCCTAAGGCCTTCCCTACCCCCAGCTGATTCACCACCCGTGCAATCTCAGCGAGATTGGGTGGTTCACAGCTGATGGGAGGATCAGCTTCGAGAACCCTGGACCCAGAGATGTCCAACATCCTAGATGGAGAGTCAGCTTTAAACAGCTGTTCAAAGTAGCCGGCCTAGCGGGTAACAACTGCAGTGTCATCCGTGAGGACCATTCCATCACCCGCCCTGACTACAAGTCTCCAAGGAACAGATTCAGATGTGCGTAATGCTTCGAATCCTCTGTAAGCAAGATGTGGGTCACCTGCTTACAGATTCGTCTAACAAATGCCTCCTTATTTGCCCTCAGAGCCCTCACAGTCGTCCTTCTCAGTTCCCGGTACAGACTTGAGTTGCCACCAAGTCGTGCGCTGCGACTCCTGCAACTGCGACTTCAGGGAACATTGGCAACACCCTTGGCAACCTTCAGGGTCTTATCACGGAAGGTCTCCCACATCACATTAGAGTCAACAGTCACTCCCAGGTCTGCAAGTTCTTCACACAAACTACATGTAGACTCATCAGAAACAAGTCCAGCCTCATACTCCTAGTAGGTGGTAGCCTACTGGATCTAAGCTGAATCAACAAGTCTAGCAACAAGTAGCAACAACAAGTCTGTGGTCAGAATTCACAAACTGGGCACTTCTGTAGACCGTGCAGTTCTGCAGGAGCCACCAGCATCTGCTCACGAGGATGTGATCGATCTCCTTTGCTGCACCACCAGTACTGGAGTACCAAGTCCAACAATGTGGCTCAGGGCGTTGGAACCAGGATCCAGCGACCCGCAGCCCCTGACCTTTCGCAAAGTCAAGGAACATGGAGCCACTTTCAGCCAGATCTCCAGACCCATTGGGACCGATACAACCTTCATAGCCAGTCCTGTCAGTGTCAGTGGTCTCATTGAGATCACCTATGACCAGAGGAGTGTCACCTCATGGGCACCCTTCAACCACTAAGCAAGTAAAATGTGTCCCTCAATGAGAGTTCACTTACTGCGGTCGGAGCATACACTGAGACAACAGACAAGACACCCAAGGAGTGCCATAGCCTGAGTCTCATAATATGATCGTTGAAAGGAGTGACATCAGACACCACCGGAAGGAGCCAATCCGCTACAGCAACAACTGCTCCCTGAGTATGGCAGCCATCAGACTGGCCAGACCAAAAGTATGTATACCCGCATACAGAGATCTGGCCACTCCCCGTTCTGCATACCTCAGAGAGTGCTGCCTCCGAAACGCAGAGTTTATGGATCTCCCCCCACAGCAGAGGAAGATGGTCATCTTGCTGGAGACAAGACGTTCCACACACCTACCCGGATGGGTCGCCTCAAACTGGGACCCTCAGCACCACACCATCCCCGATCCCCAACAGGCCTGACCCTATTGGCTCTCCGACGGTTTCGACTTGTCCGGGAATGGGGCTCCCGAAGGCTTTCCCCCGTCCCCTTCATGGTGCGTGTAGCCTTCCTATAGGCGGCTACAGCAGAGCTACTCCCGTGGAGAGCAGAAGAGTATCGTGCTTGTTTAAATTGAGCAGTTGTTTTACAATGGCTGGAGTGCCAATCCCCCCACCAACACCCAAAGAAATTTGTTTCCCTGCAAGTTGGAGGACCGCTTGCAGGGCCGGATGCAGTTTAACGTCATGCCCAGCTACGTTTATTTCAGTGGAACCCATTAAATATCTGTATTTTATATTTCTGCTCCCTGGATGAATCACCTTACATTTGTCTACATTAAATTTCATCTGCCAGGTATCAGCCCAGTCACTAATTAAATCAAGATCCTACTGTAGCCTCTGTGCCGCTAGTTCAGTAGCCATCCATCCTAGTGTCGTCTGCAAATTTAACCAGTCTACTGTATATCCTCCTGAGACCCGAGGAAAAAAGGTTATTTGTCTTTGGAGGAAATAAGACAACTTATAAGACAATTTAGATTTTTTCAAATTTATTTTTATTTTTTATTTCACAGCATGTACTCTTTAGTGTACAACAGGAATAAATAGGTTTCCTTACATGAGTGAAAAGATAGATGCAAAAACAAAATGTCCACTACAATGGACATAAATGAATGGGTGGGGTCTCAGGAGGATATATTGGTGTCAATATCGTTAATGTAAATTAGGAATAACAGTGGTTCTAAAATTGAACCCTGCGGTACCCCACTATGAACGCAGGCCCACTGTGACATTGTGCCTCTAATAACTACCCGCTGCTTCCTGTCTGTTAACCAGTTTTCAATCCAAGCTGCTATGGTTCCTAAAATCCCTGCTGCTTTGACCTTAAGCAGGGGCCATTTGTGGGGGACAACATCAATGGCCTTCTGGAAATTTAAGTAGATCACATCACAGGCCTTTTTCTGATCAGTTTCTCTTGTAGCTTCCTCAAAGATTAGTTAAACAGGATCTACCTCTCCTAAATCCATGTTGGCTATCCCTCAGAATGTTATTTGAATCCAGGTAATCTACCATTTTTGCTTGGTTTATAGCTAATTTTCCAGTTATGCAAGTTAAATTCAGATTCAGAATACTTTGTTGATCCCTGAGGAAATTATGTGGTCAATAAAGTATTCTGAACCTGAATTTATCTTGCATAACTGGAAAATTAGCTATAAACCAACTAATTGGCCTATAGTTTGATGGATTACATCTATCCCCCTTTTTTGAATATATAAGCATGCTTCCTGTCAGAAGGTACCAGACCAGCAGATAAGGATTTCTGAAATAGTAAGGCTAATAGTCAGCAAATAATACCTCTCATCTCTTTTAAAACTATAGGTAAGATGCCATCAGAGCCCTGTGATTTATTTATTTTTAGTTTAGCTAGAATTTGTAGCACATCAGCTTCAATTATACTTATATTAGTCTTAGACGACAATGGATTAGTAATGAGTCTGTATGTTACTCGTCCTCTACAGTGAATACTGTGCAAAACATTAAACTCATTAACTACATCAATTTCATTTTCAGCTATAAGACCCCTACTATCCTGCAGAATTGTGATTTCAGCTTTTAGAGCTCTTTTGGAGTTAAAATATTCAGTGTAGTTTTCCTTACGGCATTCCTCTCAGCGAGATATTATTTTTTTAATCAGCCTGTAAACTTAGTCCTGCTTTATCCCGACATCCTTAGTTATTTTCCATTTGTAGAACAGATCCCTTTTCCTCCTGATGTTATTCTTAAATTCAGTAGTCAACCACCTTCCTAGATTTTGTTTTGCTGGAAACGGGTATGATGTCCTCTTGTGTTTGCAGTGTAATGTGCTTTTAAAAAATTGTTATTTAATTCCATCTAGTTTACAGTTTCTAGTTTCAGTCTCATAAGTTAGCCTTCATAATACTGTATATTTTTGTTTTGGACTTTGCTCTTCAGACACTAAAATTAACCTCAAAATTAACCGTGTTATGATCAGTACTGTAAAGTGGTTCTAAAACCACAAATTTTCCAATCGTGTCCTGGTTATTAGAGAAGACAAGGTGGAGAATGGCTTCCCCTCTGGTAGGGGTTTTAACAAACTGAATAAAAAAAAGCAATCCTGTACCAATTCCACCATCTCAATTTCATTTACAGGAGAGCCAGAGACTATGACCCACTGTATCCCAGGTAAATTAAAATCACCCATGACTATCATTTTTATTACTCATAATCCAGATAGTGCTGTATAATGTTCTGCTTTCCTCTGCAGCTACATTAGGTGCTCTATAACAAACACCAACAATTAGCCCATTTGAGTTTTAAGCATCTAGTTATACCCATACAGCTTCTGTACTTTTATCATTGAGCTCCTTTGCCAGCACATTTTCTTACATATGCTGCAACACCACCCCCCTTCTTGCCTATCCAGTCCCTACAGAACATCATGGTCACTCAACCATGTTTCTGTTATTTCTATAATGTCATAAGAGTGATGAAATAAAAGCCTCTAAATCTTCAATTTTGTTTCTAGTACTTATGGACTAGAAAGGGTAGCAAAGGGTAGACCTTTTACAGAGCCCACTTTCATTATTATTTGGGGATTTCCGTCTCCCTCCACCTATATTCTTAACTACACTCCCTGCCCCCCCAGTCCCTAACTTAAACATTCCACAACTACTCTACACAAACGCCTCTCCAATACACTGGTTCCCCTCTGGTTCAGATGCAACCCATCTGGCTTGAACAGGTCCCACCTGTTCCAGAAGGTCCTCCAGTGCCCCATAAACCTGAAGCCCTCTTTCCTACCCTACCCTACCACCCTTTGAGCCAAGCCTTTAATCTCATTATCTCAGCCAACTTAGCCTGGCTCGCGCCTGGCACGGGAAGTATTCCAGAGAATTCCACCGTGGATGTTCTGCTTCTAAATTTATCTGCGACTTCTATAAATTTTTTCTGCAGAACAGCCCTCCTACCCTTGCCTAAGTCGTTGGTGCCAACATGCACCACGGCCACTGGATCCCCACCTGTGCACATGATCCGGAAGGTACCCTACCTGTGCACCAGGAAGGCAAGACACCGTACAGGACCCTCTGTCACGGGTGCAATTATAACTGTCTACACCTCTAATAATTAATCCCCTACTACCACAATCTTCCTCTTCCTGGGGGGAGGGGGCTCCTTGGTGCCCAAGGCCTCACCTGCCTCCCCAGTCTCTTCCAGCTCTCAAGGTGGAAGCACCTGAAAGCAGTTTGACACATTCAGTTCAGGGAATACCGCCTCTGTAAAGTGTGTATGCCCCTCTTTTACATCTATGACCTACAGTCACCCAACTCTTTGTTCTTCATTGTCCCCCCTCCCTGCTTGTGACGTACCCACTATCTCCCTAAAAGGCTTATTAACTATCTCTTCTAACTCTGTGTTGTCGGACGAGAGCCAGTTGCTCCTCAAGGTCACAAACCTTGACCTTGAGTGAGTCCATCAGCTGACATCGCTTGCGGGTGAAGTCCGACTGGATGCAAGAATCCAGAAGCGCAAACATCTTGCAAACACAACACTGAGCTGGCCCCATAATTAACTAGCTCACTATGACACCGTCCCCTACCGGAGTGGAAAATGTGCAACTGGCCCTGACTGGCGACCAAGCAAAGCTCAGGAGCAACTGTCCTTTTCTGGCGCTAGTTAACGTTACCGATGTTAAATAATATTGCCCCACGGGTGTTTGTCACAAAGTTACGCGGACAGAAAATGCTGCTCACGCGACACCTGCAGCTGCAACTCACTGTGGGTAACATTCGCACTGTTTATTAACAAGGACAAGCAAGCAAAAACACAGCCACCAATGTAAACTGTACTACCACACATACATACAAATACTCCCAAGCAATCCCAAACAACCGCTGCAACACGCGCACAACACAAGTGTACACAGCGTGTCCGTCTGGATCCACTACCACAGACAGGATGGATGGAGAGAACTGCTTAGCTGAACCTTAGTTGTGGTGTCGAGGCTAATTGTCTATTTTCAGACATCTGGCACTTCAGGAATCATCACTATACTGTGATAACACAGTATAAGGGTTAGCTATGTTTCTCAGGCATAAAAAACTGAATTTCTGACTGACTATGTTGTTGGGGAGTCTCTGAAGCATAAAGGTTTTCCCTGCTTGGCTGTCAAACCGCAGTGCATTTATTTGCTTGTTCAAAGTGTCATAGTGCTGTAAATGCCAACTAGGCATTAATCTTGCTGTATGTTTTATTGTGAGTTCATTACCACTCAGTCCATATCAGGTCATGTTTCCTTAACTATTACACCACATGCTGGCCATGTACAGGATTGTCATTCTTTTTTTTCCCCCAATCCAGTCCTTGGGGACCCACAGACAGTCCACATCTTTGCTCCCTCCCAGCTCAGATGTGGACTATCTGGGAGGGAGCTGGGAAGGAGCAAAAACATGGACCGACTGTGGGTCCCCGAAGACTGGATTGGGAAACACTGTTCTAAAGTAAAGATGATCAAAAAAATAAAAAGGCTTTTCCTACGGCTAGCAGATCTGCTGCAGCCTAGGCAAAATACAGCTTCCAAAGCATGTTGTGCCAGAACCAACTGAAGTTCCTCCATCTTTTCTAATCCTAACTGCCAATGATGTCTTGGTGTCTAAGGTGTTGAGCAGCTGAAGTCAGACAGTTAGAAGAGTAACGTATATCCTTCCAGCTTCAGCATGCTACATCTGCTCACAATTCTCAGAAGGGAATTGTTTCCATGGAAACTGTTAAAGGAAAGGAGGAGAGTCAAGCTTTGGCGGCCATCTTGCCTTTAACCATTTTCCTTTACAGATTGAGCCAATAGATGGTGAGCTGGTGTGACTCTTGCAACGAACTAAAGCCATGGGCTCTTTATAGCATGATGTATGAGAACCGTATTCAGAATGAAAGATGTAACCATGCTCGAGACACCAACCCACATTAAAATAAGCTATATGGCTAAAACAAATAAACATTTATGGATAGCACACTTTGAATAATTTGTTCCCGGAAACTGAGGTTGTCATATCACTGTAACCAAGGCTCTGTTTTGTCACAGGAGTGGATTTCAAAATGAAGACTTTGGAAATAGATGGCCTCAAAGTGAGAATACAAATATGGTGAGTGAAACACAACAGAGCCTTTTTAGATTTAGATTACATTAATACAATTAGTTGTATTTTACATTTTGTTTTATTTGTTGTCTCCTCTGGTAAAACAGCTAACATGTAAACTAAATCACACTTCTATGTCTGTCCATTAGGGACACCGCGGGTCAGGAGCGATACCAGACTATTACCAAGCAGTACTACAGGCGAGCACAAGTGAGTTCATAAGAGCGCATACCTGCCTCTATATTGCAGAATAGTTCAATCCATTTGCAAAACGGATGCCAGTAAACCACAGCTTTGGCTTATGTTTCATTTTCTCTTACAACTGAGATAAATTGGACACATCTGTAATGACACTGCCCCCCTGTGGTTTGGAGTCAAATCGTGGTGACCCCCTGCCTCTGTATGCTGACAGGGGATATTCCTAGTGTATGACATCACCAGTGAGCGCTCGTTCCAGCACATCATGAAGTGGGCCAGCGACGTGGATGAGGTGAGAAGACCCACAACATCGGCCAAGTCCTGTGTCACCCTCCTGGGGCCAGCAGGCACTGGTATTAACTTCCACATTAACTGTAAAGCACTCATAGCCCGCCCCCCCGCCCCCTCTTCTATGTCCCAGTATGCCCCAGATCAGGTGCAGAAGATCCTGATTGGTAACAAATCAGACGAGGATCAGAAGAGGCAGGTGGCCACTGAACAGGGGAACAAGGTAGGACTGACTCTCAAACTGAGCACCAGAGCAACCCCGGCCTGTTATTACCTCAGGTAATTTGTAAAGCATGAAACAACACATTACTCAGCGTGGTATATAAATAATTGCTTATACAGTAGGGCTGCACAATAAAAAATTACCATGATGTGATTTTTTTGTGATAAATAATGAGATAGATATCAAGCAATAAAGAGATAAAAATTTACACAAAATAAACTATAGTCAAATTTTTATCTATCAGTACAGTCTTGAATTAACTGGTAATGTTGCCAGATAGAGTCTGTTCAATTAGATGCTGATGTTGCCATGAGTTGTGCCAACGGATACCAAGCAGTGCTGCCAGATCACTTGCTTTTGCTCAATGTCGTCTCTATGGAATCCAATAATATTTCCATGTTGTGGAAGGCAAATGTATTTTGGTGACCAGTTCTCTTTTCTCATCCTCATGACTCATTTCTGTTAAATTTCTCACAAATGCACCACACTGTCTATGGGTGAGTCCATCAGCAAGGACGAGAATGATTATGAGTGGCTCAGTAGCGTGTGCAGAGCTCATGCAAAAGCAGTGGCAATAAACTTAACATTTTTAAAATGTATACTGATTAATAATGAAACAATCATTAAAATTGCTAAGTTGCTAACTTGTTAAGTTTTGTTTCCTATGACAGCTTAAAAATAGAAAAGCTTATTGATGATCTGAACTACGCATTTTGGGTATTACGGGAATATGGTATACTGCAGTTTGGCGATGTCCTCTCATTCGTTGTCAAATCTGTACATTTGCACAGCATCAAGTACGGGTTTTATTTGACATTTTGACATGGAGTTAGTTCCAGGTATAACTTAAGCCCATTGTCCTGACTGTTGTTGGTCCTGCAGCTTGCTAAGACCTACGGAATGGACTTCTTTGAGACAAGTGCCTGTACCAATTACAACATTAAGGAGGTAAGTAGGATTCCCATGGACAGAATGCTTGCTGCACTTGTAAGGCCTTCAGTCGAGGGCGATTCTGCTCGTCATTCTGAGGATTTCGTCAGAGACTACGCACTTCATCAAGGTGTAATATTAGTTCTTCAAGCTTGCAGCATTTGGTAATGGTGGACATCACTTTTTCCCACCCTCCTTTTGCCTTGCAGTCGTTCACCCGGTTGACGGAGCTGGTGCTGCAAGCCAACAAGAAGGAGCTGGATGTCCTGCGGGTTCCCTTCGGCGAGGAGCTCTCTGTCGCCGATCTAGAGGAGGAGGAGCACCAGGCTGATGTCGACAACAGTTCTCAGAAGAACTGCTGGTGTTAGGGAGCTGGGTGGCCTTCTCGCCGCTATAGACCCACCACGTTCTCGCCGCTATAGACCCACCACGTTCTCGCCGCTATAGACCCACCACGTTCTCGCAGCATTGTGGAAACATTGTGACGTTATCTTGAGCGGGTTATCTCATTTGCTGCAACTTCTGAAATGCATATGTTCCTCAAATCCTTTAACCATTCCTCTTTCCTTTGTTTATGAACCCTTATTGTTCATATGTACTTGCTCAAAGGGGCTGGTGCTTTCCTTTCTTTTGTAAAGAAACGTTTACATTTGTTGCACCTCTTCAATCTCATGCTGGATGAAAGTATATCTCATGTAATTCACAGATTTCACAGCTAGGTGGCAGCAGTCTCTCGGCACACTCATGGTTTCGTCCTGACGTTTTGATACTGGGGACATCTGCTATCCGTTTGTCTCTGTGATACCCTTAAATATGGATACTAGATCCGTTTGCAAGAACCGAATAATTCAAGTTGTTCCATGAAAAATGTTTCAGCGCAGCTAGGATCCGCGTTTTGGAGTATTGTAATTTCACCCCCCCCGGAATTTCAATGTAAATCTAGCAGATGTAATATTATATAGCATGCAGTAGAATGCTGTATAATATATTGAGACTTTTCTTTAAATATCATATTTTACATCTTTACCCTGGCAACTTCAGTATGCATTAGTGATAATTTCATGTTATTTTTTGCCTACTAGGTCCCAGCACTTCGATCATGGCATCGGTCGCCCCTTTTTCAGTTTTAGAACCAAAATAACAAGCTTTGCCAAAACACTTTCAGAGTAGATTAGTCTGCTGTTTTCATATAGATATTTTTTTTTCTAGAAAACATCATAATGTCACACTTCGCCAGTTTTCAATAGTTGGCTACTCGTATTACGTGAAACATTATATAAAAATAATTATCAATATAGATGCAACTAGTTAATTTTGTGAAGCTTAATTCGTGTTTGAAGCCGCTTCTGGTCCGACTAACAGCTTTTTTTTGTCTCCTGGAAAGGACTGTTATATGTAGGTTCCATTATTTTCCTTCTTTTCCTAGTGCCGACAGTTGCTGAAAAAGCTACATTATAGTATTAAAATGTCCGAAATCCTTGAGATATCCATGCCAGTTTGCTCAGCAGAATATGCGTTTCGGGTTTAGTCCTTGTATATGTTCAGCTATAGTTTAATAAGTTCAAATATCTTTATTTTTTCATTGGGTCATTTCCAGGGTCTTGCTATGCTGGATAACTTCACTTTTTCCCAGTCTTTCAACTGGAATGTGACAGTGAAAGAAGATACTTTGTACAGTCGAGAGGGCAGAAAACTGAGATGAATTATTGAAGTACTGAAAACCAAGCCTGCTTGGTAGAGTCGTGTGGAAGAAAACGAACCAGTTTTTTTTAAACGCAGTTCTTTTTCACTCCTCTGCCAAAAGATTAAATTACCTTGATTCAAGATGCAGATCTATATTCTTTTACACAGAATAAACACTCTACAGAGATTACAACTGCTTAATACCTTTGCTGAATATTCATGTATGTAAAAACAGATCTAATTATGTAAAAAAATATGCAGGGTCTGAGTGTTTATGCTTGTCATGTATATGTTTATTATTATTTTGGTAAAGTGTTTACATAAAACTTCCTCTATATTTTACCCTGCTGAAGTTGGTTGCAAATACCGCATAAGCTTGCCTTGCTTACTTTAAACCCCAATTCTCTCTTTTAAGATCTACCTGTTTACATTGGCTTGTGTGGCATCCTGTGTCTTGTTTCACTGTTTGGAGTGCACTTGCAAAATATTTATATGAGGGTTTCGTTCACCTTTGATAACTGAGCAAGGATGAGAAATATAGCAAAACTTTGCAACCAATGACATCAGAGGGGTGTTCCACGAAGCAGGATTTCTTGGTTATCTGGGTTTAACTTAGCTAGAACTCATGATTGTCCAATAAGTGCTTAGGTAAGGAGCATTTCTATTGGACAATCTTGACTTCTAGCTAAGTTAAACCCAGCTAACCGAGAAATCCTGCTTCGTGCAACACCCCCCCCGATGGCCTAGATTTTATTTACAAACATTGCATTGTACCTTTATGTAAATTAAAATGTGAAAGCAAGTTTTGTCATGAATCATATATATTATATGAACTGAATCAGGTTGTGGATACAAAATGTAGCTTTGTGTTGTCCCTGCTCGTCTGATTTATTCAAAAATGTTTATAAACGATATTTCAATTTTCTCATGGTGTATGTGTGCTGAGGAATTTTATTTCAAAAGAATTTACAGAATTTTATTTGCAAATGTTATTGAATAAATAGTAGTGAGAGAATTATTTATGTATGTATAACAGCATTTTGTATTTTTAAAATTGTTGTACATGGCTTTTAACAGCCAATTTTGTCATATTAATTTAATCCTAAAATGTAAAAATTCATCCTGAATATCTCACTAGCCACTTTGTTAGTTCCAGAAGTCATCTTTATTTAAATTGCATGCATATAAATTCTTAATTAATTAGGTGAGATATTCGATTTTAATTTAAAAACATGCCAAGCATAAAACTTGCACTGGGAGCAATATTATAAGCTGTTGCCATGTTTGCCCTCTCCAGATTTTTAAGCACAAGAAGTAATGAAAGTGACCTGGAGATAAATTGCAGTCTTTGAATTATACATATACTTCAGTGTGTTAGTCTGTAGTCCAGCTTCACCGCAGATCGGATGAGGATAAGTTCCACTTGGATCCATTGAACAAAATCAGTCACCCAGCTGCTAATGAGAGGATAAATGTTTTATGGTCTAGAAAATGATCCCCGTCTTAGAATTACCACATCTACTCCTATGTGGAGCTCATGATTCCCATCGAACTCTTTCCTTCTCTGTTCTAAACAAAGAAATGTTTATAAATGTATCCATTGTCATAGTGACCAGCCCTTGTTATCAAATATTAGTTATAGATCATCCCCTGTCTCAATGTTAAGGACGAAGGACACCTGACTGGTTTGAGTGGTTAAATGCTCTAGGTTTACATAAGTGTTTACTCATGCTTTACCAGTTGAATCTGTAAGATGTTTCATATTGTAACCATGATTCATATTCATGTATCAATATTAGGCCTATATACTCCCCTTGATGTTGAAGCACTAAAATCAAGCTGTTTCTCAATTCAGTGCCGTAAATAAATCAGTCCCAGCCTAAAATATTGACCCAGGTCAATGTCGCCATAATAATTTTAAACTCTACAATATGAAGTGATGAATCGGAAATGTATAAGCCGAACGGTAGTTCTATGCTTAATCAGGCTATGACTTCATTTCTACAGAAGAATTCTGATGATTATCAGCAGGATGCATTCATATACAGTGTGAACTTGCTGTTCTGTCACTGTAGTGACTGAAATATAAAAGCATATGTACACGATATTAGGTAGAAATCATTTTGAGGGTTTCTGACATAGATCAATTACCCATCCGTAGAATTTTGCGGTAGTAGTGTAGGCGTATTTTTATTATATAGTACGAGAAAATGATAAAAAAAAAAAAAATCATATATATAGCTGGCGTAGTGGGAGTATAATTCAATAATAGATGCTTATGGATTCATACTCTAGTCTAGAGGCTCTACAATTTACAGAAGAACACCCAACCAAACTTTAAATTTCCGGAGTATCGGTAACAGGTCAGTATCGGCTTTCCGCGGCATCATTCGACACCGAGTTGGGAACTTTTGTTTCTCAAGTCAGGTGACTTTCAGCTGCACTGAAGTAGTAAGGAGAGCTATTAAAGGACAGAAATTCAGGCGGCCGTTCCCGCAATCTTACCTCTGAAGTTATGGCCTTCATCGCTAAGACCTTCTACGATCTCCGTGCGACGACCCTGCAGGGGGAGTCCGTCGATTTCAACATCTACAGAGGGCGAGTGGTCCTGATCGAGAACGTGGCCTCGCTCTGAGGAACAACCACCCGGGACTATGGCCAGCTCAACGAGCTGCAGGCCAGATACCCCCACCGGTTTGTAGTCCTGGGCTTTCCATGCAACCAGTTCGGGTACCAGGTCAGTGTGGCGGGTGTCAGTCAAAGGCAATTCTAACGATAATTTTATTTGAATGACTTAATATTACTACAGACAGTTAAACAATATTTGTGAACTATATTCATAAGTTCTGAGACGAGCTTTCGATAACGTGTGGCTCAGCGGGCTAAGCCTCTGAACCTGTGATAGGAATAATAATATTAATAATAATAATAATAATAATAATAAAATGCAACCACAAACAAGATGTATTGCAGTTAAAAACCAAACAAATAATAAAGGCTGATCCTTTATTATTTCTTTATCTCCTAATCCAAAAGTTACCATCAATGTCTTAAGGGGGGACATGATCCAGGTGTATAAGATTCTAACGGGTCTGGATGCTGTTCAGCCAAATGGCTATTTCAATATTTAGTTTAAATAGCCTACTAGAACTCGTGGCCATAAGTGGAAATTAGCGGGAGAACATTTTAAAACAAATTTGAGGAAGCACTTCTTTACATAGCGTGTAGAGTATGGAATAGTCTTCCTGCTAGTGTAGCGGAAGCTAAAACCCTGGGTTCCTTTAAATCAGAGCTAGATAAGATTTTAACAACTCTGAGCTATTAGTTAAGTTCTCCCCAAACGAGCTTGATGGGCCGAATGCCCCCCTCTCGTTTGTAAATTTCTTATGTTCTTAATGCAAATGGATTTATGTCTTTTACAGGAAAATTGCACAAATGGGGAGATCCTGAACTCGCTTATGCACGTGCGCCCTGGGGGAGGATTCCAGCCGAGCTTTACTTTATTTGAGAAATGTGACGTGAATGGATCTAATACGCATCCGGTGTTCGCTTACCTGAAAGACAAACTTCCCTATCCCGATGACGAGCCTACTACACTAATACAAGATCCGAGGTTTCTCATCTGGAGCCCAATCAACAGGACAGACGTCTCCTGGAACTTCGAGAAGTTTTTAATCGGCCCGGAAGGAGAGCCATTTAAACGATACAGCAAAAATTTTAAGACGATCGACATCGAGCCAGACATCCAAAGACTTTTAAAACTAACCAAAAATTAGGAGACGCAAATCTTTGTTACTTGTCTTAATTTTTCAGTTATGACAAATTACTGATGGCATTTCCGTTCTTTTGAGATTTATTATATGAAGATAATATTCTAAACTCAATTGGGAATAATGTCCGAAGCTCTATAAAGACTCAAGAGATATGGATTATGCCATTGGTACACTTTATGTATTCTCGTTTTAATTTGACAATAAACAACTCTCAAAATCTGGATTTGTTTGTACGGGAAAACACGATTATTGGTTTAATTATCGAACGTTTATAACGGCGTAAAAGGATATTATGCACATTAATTGTTCCTTGCTTCTTTGTAGATGAGGAATTATAGAGCGGTGCGGATCTGGAAGGTAAGTATTAATACCAATGAGGTAGTCCGCTTGTAATCAAATAATGAAGGCACTCAAATTTGAAAAATATTTTGTATACTCATGAAGCGACATTAATATGAAAGCTATAAAGCATCCATTTAAAAGAAGCTTTGGCCATATTTTATAAATATTACTGTAACTACTCTCAAAGCACCTTTGAATTATTAGATCGGGATACAGAGAAAACCGTATTTTCATTTTAATATAACTGTAAAGCAGGGGCCAATCTTATCCGCAAAGGGCCGGTGTGTAGGTTATGCAGGTTTTTGGGGTAACCTTTAGGTCAGCTGTTCAAACCCAGATGTGAGGACTCTTCAGGCAATCAGTCCTGTAGGCCTAATTAGTAATCTAATCTATAGTTGCAGCAAAAACTCGAATAAACAGCGGCCCTTTCTGGGTAAGATTTCCCACCCCTTCTGTAAAGGGACCGTATTACATTGATCACAACCGTGAGCCATTATTCCAGCAGATGGCGCCAGTTAGCCTATATAGTTTAGCCCTTGTTGGTCTGTATATTTTTCGCCAACCTTCATAAAACAGGGAAATTAATTACAGGAATTAATTTAGCTATATTACTCACACAACACCCCTAGCGTTGAAATTAAATTGGAATTTCCTCATTTCGGTGGATTTTTTCCGATTCAGTTACCTGGAAATGATGCATCTTAGAAAGCGAGCCACCCTTTCACAGTCCATGATCAAGAGATACAATCGCGCTGGATATTTTACCCAGAATCCACTGCTTTTTGTGCTAGGCTGTCAGCAGCTCCGGCAGGGGGGTAAATAGTCAAAGGGAGTCGCGGAGGAAAAACGGGAGATTTCTCTGGCTTCACACTGTGGTTCCCACTGCCTCCCTGAGCTGTTGCCTTAATTAAAAAACCACCCACCTGGCACACTAAGAAGAACCGTCTTTGTTAGACGGTGAGTTACTTTTCACATAAGAAGCAATAAAACTAAGCTGTAAAGACACAGATCTTTGATGGTGCACAGAAATAAAGCATTGAGTTGCACTGGAACTGAAATCTTCAGGACTAAATTATTGATAAAGGGGACAGAGACAAAAGAAGATTAAAGGTGTCACTTCTGTGCTGAGTCTGGTTCTATGCTTGGAGACCCAAATCTGAATCCCACTCACATACAGCTGAATCCCACTCACACACACAACTGCATGGCTCATTCTCCAATAGCATCATAGCATTCTCTTTGTATAAAGAGTTGCTTTAGTCATTAAGATATGCTGTATCATACTTATTGCTAAATACTCAAAATAGTTAAGTGCAATCAAAACACTTTAATAATGCAAATTTCGTCTCAGTCAAACACCAGCATAGTATTATGGGTCTTTAAAGACAAAAAAGAACCAAGGGATAAGGGAACCAAAAAGCTAATCCTCTGCTTTCACTCGACGTTCTTAAGTCGCATTAAAAACTGCAGGGAGAAAGTTGTGGATTAATCAGACCCCCTTTGTCCGCTGTGGTATCACAGAATCCCAGGATTTGGATGGGGTCTGGATTCCAGTTGCTGGGCATTGGGGGGGGGGGGGGGGGGGGGGGACTTGGTCGGAGAACAGCAGGAATATCTTTTAAATGCATGTGACAAAAAGACTACATATTTCTCCAGAAAAGCCCAAGATAGGTATCAGGCTGGTGTTTAGGGTGCGTTGGTGTGGGGGAAGCTGTCCTGGGGCAGGTTGTCTAGGATCAAATAGCTGATGATGCCATTCCACTCCCAGCTTTACTCCAGGCTGTCACTCAGGATGAGTCATGCTGCCTCTGAGATCTGAAGGTGCACACAAAGCCCAGACTCTGTGGCACGTTGCTCAGAAATGCTGGGTTCCATTCTGAATGTTGGGGCCCTGAAACTTCCA